AAGATCAAAAGAATTGATGAATAAAAAGATTTAGAAGATAAAATATCTTGGTAACCCCACGACAAATATGAAATATATGCTATTTCAAAATGTTTACATTAGGACATGGGATGAGGTTAAAAAGGATATATTAAGTTGTGGGTAATTACAGTTGTCATTGGTGGAGGAAATTTCTGTGATAAAAATGAATGTTTTGTGTAGAATGATATTTTTGTTTCAGACAATACCAGTTTTGACAAGTGTTGTATCATTTACACCAGTGGTTCTCAACCTTTTTAATGCCGCGACCCCCCAACCGGTCGTAAGTCGAGGACTACTCAACTGGTGCAGCACCGTTTGCAGAATGGGACTTTCGGCGGGCTCAGCAGGGCAGAGACAGTCTGGACAATTCCTACTGGCTTTTGAAAGCCAATAGAATTAGACTCTATTCAAGAGAGTCTATTCTATTGGCTTTCAAAAGCCAATAGAATAAAAGGGAGTAGCACAGCTAATAAAAGGGGGGGAAATGGCAGACTGTGTTGTTTAACGACCCCTGTGAAGTGGTCGTTCGACCCCAAATGGGGTCCCGACCCACAGGTTGAGAACCACTGATTTACACTGTGGCAAAAAGTTATATCTAACTTTGTACGGCAAATGGTAACAAGTTAAATATAAGGTGTTACAAGATGAAAAGGAAAGACTTGGGTTTACCTGATTTCAAATTGTATTTACTGCTTGGTTTGGATGAAAAGAATGGAAAATAGAGTGAGTCTTCTAAGTGTTTATGGAGATTCTCAGCCCTCCAGGTCATGGGAGTCACAAAGATGCTTTTATCAAAAGACTTTCTTTGTTTTTCCTTGAAGACATTTTGCCTCTCATCCAAGAAGCTTCTTCAGTTCTTCAGTGGTGGGGAATGGAAGGATTTATATTCCTTGCAGTCATTTGGTCAAGGAATATAAATCCTTCCATTCTCCACCATTCAGTCAGAACTGAAGAAGCTTCTTGAATGAGAAAAGAAACATCTTCAAGGGAAAGTAAGATTCTACATTTAGACAAGAAAAACCAAATGCACAGGTATAGTGTAGATGGTACCTCGCTTAACAGTAGTAACTGGGAGAGGGATCTTGGAGTCCTAGTGGACAATCATTTAAATATGAGCCAGCGGTGTGCTACATCTGCCAAAAAGGCCAACACAGTACTAGGCTGCATTAACAGAGGGATAGCATCAAGATCACGCGAAGTGTTGATACCACTTTACAATGCCTTGGTAAGGCCACACTTGGAATATTGCATCCAGTTTTGGTCACCATGATGTAAAAAAGATGTTGAGACTCTAGAACTAGAGTACAGAGAAGAGCAACAAAGATGATTAGGGGACTGGAAGCTAAAACATATGAGGAATGGTTGCTGGAATTGGGTATGTCTAGTTTAATGAAAAGAAGGACAAGGGGTGACATGATAGCAGTGTTCCAATATCTCAGGGGCTGCCACAAAGAAGAGGGTGTCAAGCTATTTTCCAAAGCACCTGAAAGCAGGACAAGAAGCAATGGTTGGAAATTAACCAAAGAGAGAAGCAACCTAGAACTAAGGAGAAATTTCCTGACAATTAGAACAATTAACTAATGGAACAACCTGCCTCCAGAAGCTGTGAATGCTCCAACACTGGAAGTTTTTAAGAAGAGACTGGACAGCCATTTGTCTGAAATGGGCATAGGATTTCCTGCCTGAGGAGGGGTTTGGACTAGATGACCTCCAAGGTCCCTTCCAATTTTATTATTATTATTATTAAAAACAAAGTCCAGTTGCCTTTTGAAAAAAGCACCTTTGAGAGTCTTCTAAGACTTTTAGACTTAGAAAAACATGACTTGAGATTTGAGTGGCGGGAGTATTTGAGGTACAATAAAGTTAAGGTTAATGGAGACTTCTAAAATCACTGTGTTAGATGTGCCATATTGAGAATATGGAATAGATACAAATCTAGGTTCTGCCCTAAAGCACTTTTGTGGCTCTCGACACAAGAAGCATTTTATAGACAAGAAATAATAGGCAAACACAAATGATTAGCACACCATGAAATACTAGAATTCTGTCAAGGGGAATTTTTTTAAAAAATCAAGAGAATAACTGATGGCAGAAGGATGTAATTGTCAGTTGTTTTCTTATTTACCCTTATCGGAAGGATTAGGCAAAAAAGATTAGACAAAAAAACCCCTCTAAGACTGACTTTTAAATGGAATTGTGTACAAATGATGAACATGTGATTGGTGAAGTGTATAAGCTTTCATTGAAATTTGAAAGAGAAGAACAAGCGAAAGAATGCATGATGAAGTGGACTAAAAATTTTATATATGGAACAATTGGGAAATGTGTGGTTTAAAGGATTGAGGTTTACTATAATCTTAAGGAGAATTTTTATAAAATAATATACCACTGGTATACAATACCAGAAAATTTATTCGGAAAGGTACTTCAAATCAGTGCTGGAAATGTGAATAACAGGAAGGATAATTTTGCTTGGTGAACATGTAAAAAGCAATAAAGAAGATTTGGGGTTCAAATGCATTCACCAATTCAGAGGATTTTAAATATTAATATACAATTGAAACCAGCAGTTTTATTCTTGGGATATTTTAAATGGTTAAATGGTTGGGGGAGGGGGAGGGGGAGTCATGGAACTTTGTTTTTATATATGATAACTGTAGTGGGATTATTTTTATCTTTTTTGTAATTTATCACAGAAATTATCTTATTTATCTTTTCAAAGTTGGAAAGTTTTGGCAATACATATCATTGAGGAATGGTTTGTGAAGATGATAGAATTTGCTAAGATGGCCAAATTGAACTGTTTAATAAGAGAAAAGACAATATCTACATTTACTGCTGACTGAAAACCCCTTATGAACTTTTTGTGTAAAACAGGAAAAAAAATGAACTTACAATCTACAGTTTTAACTATTAGATAGGATAGATTATAGAAAAAGAGAGAGTCACGGTGTAACTTTAGAAAAAGAGGTAAATCTACAATTCTACTTATAACCGCTGTAAAGATGATAAAAAGCCATTTCTTTGTATATTTTTTAATGTTTTCTGTTTTTTTCTATGCCTTTTCTTTTTTCCTTCCTTTTCTCTTACTCACATTATTTTAGTTTGTATTAATTTTTACTCTTGCTTTTAAAACTTTCAAGAAAATTATATTAGGAAAAAACCCTTAGATACCATATGAATCTTGTTTTTTTTAAAAAAAGGGACTCCCAAAGTTAAATGAATGTCACTTTCCCCCAAATTGCTGAGTTTGCTAGTAATATTCATAAAATCTCCTGTTATGTCCACTGCCTGTCACAGTAAGATCCATTTTTTAGTCATTCATAAGGTGAAGTACATCACACCAGTGCCCTGAGGCACTTTGATTCTCCTCCTATTCTGAAAATTAAAGCTTTATCCAGCCTGCTCATCAATAGAACCTCTATCCCATGTAGATAAAAACTGGTTATTTTCCTGAAAATATGTGCATTTCTTTCCTCTTTATACAAGACAAATCTCTCAGGAAAGATAAAACGTTAATGAAATAAGTTAAAACATAGGATAAAATATATGCTAGTATACACAAAAGCTGAAATGGATGACCGTAGTAGAAGAGATTAACAGATACCAGCTGAAGGTTTATTCTTCTCTGCAACGTGAATAAATAAGTAAAAAACATTTATATTTTCATCTAAGTTTTGGCTTTTGGAGAGGGAAAGTAATGATTGTTGCATTTGTCTCTTCCAAGCTGGATTGATAGCAATGAGTGCCACAAAAGCGCAGATTGATTTCCTTCCCTTGATCAATGTATTTTATATTGTTCTTTTTTATCTACTGAAATCTTGAATTGTTTCTATAAAAGCTTAACATAATAAAAACTATGGTTTTCTTCATGAATGATAGTTGATAGGATTAATGCTCACTGCAAACTCTGGTATAACAGAGGTGTTCCAAAAAAAATAAAAACTTGATATCTTGAGAAATACATTTTACATACAGCTTTTTCTCTCTTTTGAAAACATTAAAATACTGGATCCAAATTGTGGCATTTCTGGACACAGATTTGCTCATGGCAAAAGAAGCAGGAAATGGGAGAGGCACACAACATAATAATTTCATAATCTAGGAATTCATAAAAGGAAGCATGTATATTTAATAAATGTATGAGTCATATTTCAGATAATAAGCCCTCACAATGACCTAAATAGAAAATTCATGTTTAAATTACCAAGGCCACAATCCAGCAGAAATATAAGCATGATTATACTTCAGAGGGTTATGCATACAACTCTGTGCTGAATTATGTGGCCCACAGGTAGCACTTAAATATAATATTGCAAACAGTTGAAAAAGAAAAGTAGTTCCAATATTTTCTGTAAGCCACGTTTTTGTAAAGAGAATGAACTTACCCTTCCCTTATTCTGTTTCATTCAGGTCTTATCATATTAAAAAGCAAAACATAAAAATATGAGAAAAAAATTATTGGTTGTATCTTCTGCCAGACTTCGTAATATAACACAGTTTCCTATAAGATTGAAAGTGATTTTTATATATATATACAAGAAGAAATTGTTTTGTAAACAATGGACAAATGGCAGAAATCTTCACAGAGAGGAAAGAAGCAGATGTTGACTTTAAAAGATAGTTGAAAGGGGCTCAGGATTTAAACCTGTGGGTTAACATACTGTATATATAGGACAATATTCTGGTGTGCTTTTTGATGAGTAGTTTCTTCCTCATTTAAATTCCTAGTTTTCTGCAATAAATCTACATATAAAACCTTGTATCTGACTGGGAATTGAAAGATAGAAAGTATATCACTGCCACAAAGCCTGGATAATTCTGGTGAAGGCAGATATAGGGTGAAGGCAAATGAAGGCCCTTGAAAAAAGGAACAAAACCATTTAAATTCCAAATCCAGCCCTTTTGCTATTGATTTTTCCCTTGTCCTCTTACTAGTATATTGAAGACTCACTGTGTATTCATGTTTTCTTCCACAGAAGTGGCAGAAAGAAAGCTGACCATGGAAGAAGAGGAAGCCAAACGTATTGCAGAAATGGGAAAGCCAATCCTGGGTGAACATCCAAAATTAGAGGTTATAATTGAAGAGTCCTACGAGTTCAAGGTCAGTGCCGGGTACTCAGAGTTTTTGACAGGAAATGAGGGAAGGAAGCGCAGGAAAAGAACTTAGCAGAAAAATTGGTTAGCAGAGCTAAACAGAAGAAAGGAAGACGACTGAAGGGGAAAAGGAAGGATTCAACAAAAGAGGAGGGTTGCATGGAACGCTAAGCTAAGGCAAAAGTCCAGGCTAAGTCCTGGGAGGGAAGAAAAGACAATGAGAAAAATAAATGACGTTCGGGAAAGAGAGAGCAAGTCTAAACGAAAATAATTAAGAGATGTTTTAAAGAATACGATCCTAATTTAACAATAAAGGAATGGCCAGAAGTTTCACCACTGTCTTCTGAACAGTGATGGATGGAAAGTCCTACATCAGAAGGAAGGTTAGGTTGTGCTTTGAATTGTTTGTAAAAATAATAAAAACAGGATAAAAAAGAATCTAATAAATAATAAAATATTCATGTGTTGAAGATACATACCATATTTTCCGGCATATAAGACGACTTTCTAAAGCATTCAAATCGGCTCCAAAGTCGGGGGTTGTCTTATACGCCGAGTCGTCGAATACGCTGGAAAATACAGTAACTAAGAACGAACTAACAAATGTGTGGTTCTGGCTAAAAGAATTATCACACTGATATACGTGAGAAATTAACAGGGAAATATGCTAAATATTTATTCTGCTGTTTTCAACTGCTAATCCTTACTGCCAAATGATTCAAAGGCCAAACAGACATGCCCTTACATCTAGCTGAAACAGGTTTCTGAAGGTTGGTTGCCGTGGAAATTGTTTTTAGCAACATGTCTATCTCAATCCAGGTCAAGTCTGCTAAGACTCATAGAACACTGTAGAGCAGTGGTTCTCAACCTTCCTAATGCCGCGACCCTTTAATACAGTTCCTCATGTTGTGGTGACCCCCAACCATAAAATTATTTTTGTTGGTACTTCATAACTGTAATTTTGCTACTGTTGTGAATTGTAATGTAAATATCTGATATGCAGGATGTATTTTCATTGTTACGAATTGAACATAATTAAAGCATAGTGATTGATCACAAAAACAATATAGCAATGCTCGCTGGAGAAGCTTACTCTTCCTTGCTCAAAAATGTTGGGAGGGAGAGAAGGGGAAGGAAGGAAGATTGAAGGGGAAAGGAAGGAGATGGAGAAGGAAGGAGATTGAAGGGGGAAGGAAGGAAGGAAGGAAGGAAGGAAGGAAGGAAGGAAGGAAGGAAGGAAGGAAGGAAGGAAGGAAGGAAGGATCGATCTTTGGAGAGTCATGTTTTCCCAGATGGTGATGAACTGCAACTCCCAGCATTCCCCACTCTTCCACAGTGCTTTTTAGGGCTGTTGGGGATGGTACAGTGTAGAGGAACTTAAGCATGCTAAGTTCATGCCATTATGAAAGGGAATTACTATATGAATGGAAAATAATTTATCCATTGACAAAGTACTTTGCAGGTTATGGAAAAGGCTAAGAAAGAAGGGAGAAAGTTTTATATGAATAAAAAAGCAGAATGCGCCCTTTTTTAAAATGATGCAGCTATGACTTTTGGCAAACAACCTGTCATAAAATGACTTCCTGACCTACTTATAGTTTGAGGTTTATGCCTTTCATTTCTTTCATTTACTCTTTCATGGACATTATCTGTGGCTTAAGTTAGCTTCTTGCAGTTAAAACTTTCTTAGTTAAGACTACAATTCAAACTTATAAGGAATGGAAATTCTGGGTTATGTCATCATAAAACCCTTGGAAGACACCTGCTTGGAAAAGCTACCTAAAACCTTCAGTCAGCCTCCATGCTCCAAAGGAAGGCCTTTAGTTAAACCAGTATTCTTTGTATTCTTCTAATTGACAGAGTACAGTGGACAAGCTCATCAAGAAGACAAACTTGGCGTTGGTTGTAGGAACTCATTCATGGAGAGACCAGTTCATAGAAGCCATTACTGTCAGTGCAGGTGAGACAGAGTGAATGCCGGAAGCAATAACCCGGAGGTAGGGGGGCAATTCTAACATCAATTACTTCAGGAGTTTTTATGAAGCCCTTGCTCAATAGATATTATGGACTGGTGAAAGAGTTTAACTTGCTTGACTTTGGTTTGATTTTTTTTGGGGGGGGTCCATGCACTGGATAGTAAATGAGTGCATATTAAGTCTGATCCTAAAGAATTTTTGTTCAATTACTAGTTTTTTAACTTTTATTTAAGAGCATGGTGTTCAAAAATCACTGAATGGTGAAATTTCCAGGAAATGTAAGGTCACAATAAAAAGAAAATTTACAATTTAATGAAGAACTAATTATTAGAAATTATTTTTTAAAAATAATTCCTGTTACTGTAATTTTCCAGAATCATATTAGGTAAAATTAATTCCTTTAATTCTCACTGCCAGTAATTAAAATTAACCCGACGCTATTAAAATTGTTCTTGACTGATCAATTGGGTTTCATTTTGAGTAACCCAGCTGTTTTTATTTAATTACCGTAGTAGAATCTAACTAGTTGATTTATCTATTCAATTAAGTTGGAATGCTTCCTCCTTTGGATAAACTTTGGTAACTCATTGCAACACATATCACAGAACCTGCCTCCTTAGTGATAAAGCGTGCTTTAAATCCAGATACTTCTGTGCCTAGGCACGCTAAGGGCCTCTGTTTTAAGTGAACTCTATGGTTCACAAAATAGTCATAGCATCCTGTTGCAAATGTTAAGAGTGCATCTTAGCTGGATACTAGCATTCTTCCTGGGAAGAGAGTTCATTTCCATTAAGTCTACATTTTCTGCTGTATGTGAGCTTCCCAGAAACAGAGAAAAGTGCAAGGAAAATCCCAAGCGTTCTGTTTATGAAAGTATTCTCACTACCAGCGGTGGGATTTCCTTGCTTATAGCAGTTTGTATTTCAACACTCACTATGTCTCTCTCACTCCTCTTTTCTTCCTTCCCTATTTGAGCATGGCTTGGGGAATACTCTGCCTGCAGCCCAAATCACTCATACCCCAAAATAAAAACCATTAGAATCAACAGGATCTGTTTTCACAAAGGCCTGTTTTATATCAAACTGCCGATTTGTTGTTCCCACATCTCTCCTTTGCCTTTTTCCAGTTTATTTTTTCTTTGCTTTGTGATACAGGCTTCCTGTAATAGTGCATATTACGAAAGGAGTTCTTCTCAAGATTACTTTATGCAAGTCTTCAATCTCAGGAATTTGCCCTCATCCATGGTAGCCAACTGCTGGTGCCAGATATGTTAAGATACAGTGATGTTCAGGTGGAAAACATTTCCTGTTTGATCTACTGCTCTTATTGTGTTGATGCAAAACCTGCCACTAGCAAGGACAGGCTGAAAAACAGGAGTTCCTACATTTTGTGCCCAACAGATAGTAATAGTAATAATAGTAAAGTTGGAAGGGACCTTGGTGGTCATCTAGTCCAACCCCCTGCTCAGGCAGGAAACCCTACACCATTTCGGACAAATGGCTGTCCAGTCTCTTCTTAAAAACTTCCAGTGTTGGAGCATTTACTGCTTCTGGAGGCAGGCTGTTCCACTGATTAATTGTTCTCACTGTCAGGAAGTTTCTCCTTAGTTCTAGGTTGCTTCTCTCCTTGATTAGTTTCCACCCGTTGCTTCTTGTCCTGCCTTCAGGTGCTTTGGAAAATAGCTTAATTCCCTCTTCTTTATGGCAGCCCCTGAGATATTGGAATACTGCTATCATGTCCCCCCTTGTCCTTCTCTTCGTTAAACTAGACATACCCAATTCTAGCAACCGTTCCTTATATGTTTTAGCCTCCAGTCCCCTAATCATCTTTGTTGCTCTTCTCTGTACTCTTTCTAGAGTCTCAACATCTTTTTTACATCGTGGTGACCAAAACTGGATGCAGTATTCCAAGTGTGGCCTTACCAAGGCATTGAAGAGTGGTATTAATACTTCACGTGATCTTGATTCTATCCCTCTGTTAATGCAGCCTAGCACTGTGTTGGCCTTTTTGGCAGCTGCAGCACACTGCTGGCTCATATTTAGGTGATTGTCTACTAGGACTCCGAGGTCCCTCTCACAGTTACTACTATTGAGCATGGTGCCACCTATGCTGTACTTGTGCATTTGGTTTTTCTTGCCTAAATGTAGAACCTTGCTTTTTTCACCATTGAATTTCATTTTGTTAGTTAGTGCCCAGTGTTCAAGTCTGTCCAGATCCTTCTGTATCTTAAGCCTGTCTTCTGGAGTGTTGGCTATTCCTGCCAGCTTGGTGTCGTCTGCAAATTTGATGAGTTCCCCATCTATCCCTTCATCCAAATCGTTGATGAAGATGTTGAAGAGTACTGGGCCCAGAACAGAGCCCTGGGGGCACCCCACTACACACTTCCCTCCATATAGATGCAGTTCCATTGAGGACCACTCGCTGAGTACGGCCGGTCAGCCAGCTACGGATCCATCTGGTGGTGGTTCTGTCTACCCCACATTTTTCTATCTTGTCAAGTAGTAGGTTGTGATCTACTTTATCAAATGCCTTACTGAAGTCCAAGTAAATTATGTCCACAGCATTCCTCTGATCCACTAATTTTGTCACTTGGTCAAAGAATGCAATAAGATTTGTCTGGCATGATCTATTTTTGACAAACCCATGTTGGCTTTTAGTAATGACTTTGTTTGCCTCTAGGTGTTCGTTGATTCGTTGTTTGATTATCTTTTCCAGGATCTTCCCAGGTATTGAGGTCAGGCTGATAGGTCTGTAATTTCCTGGATCCATTTTTTTTTCCTTTTTGGAGGATGGGAACTACATCAGCTCTTTTCCAGTCCTCTGGTAGTTCCCCTGTTTTCCAGGATCTTTGAAAAATATAGTTCAGTGGCTCCAATATCACATCTGCCAGTTCCTTGAGAACTTGAGTTCTCAGTTCCTTGAGTGATTGCAGAGTGATTAGAAGTCAGAAGACTAAAGTTGCCAACTCCTCCACTGTCTTGCTTTTCTTTAATAAAAGAATCCTTTGAATTCATGCATTGCACAGAAGGGGAGACAAAAGGGGAAGAAGGGAGTTGGAGACTAGAACCCTCTTGCTTTCTAACTAGCCAAAGTAAGTTTTGTAGAGCCAAGAACTCTGTCCAAATAGGGAAGGTCATGAGGTTTGAGTGGGTGTTTTGGTAAATGCTGTACAGAGCTCTGATGTAGGGTGCAAGTCAAAGTCATGGCTAATCCCAAGAGAAGTTGACAGAAACCATTTGAGACAAAACAAATTAGAGTTTCATTTTTCACCCATTTTTCCCAGTGCCACCCATGTGTTTTCTGCAAGAAACCTCTTGAATAAGGTAATCCATTTGAAGCCCACCTTCCAGATACAAAGCTGTTAGATGAAAATATGTTGCTAACTTTTATTTATTTGATTGAGTGAAATGGCTGCCCATCTCACAGCAGTAACTCTGGACAGCATGCAGAGTTTAGCATGCAGAGTTAAAAACAACAGTGTAAACAATCTGTACCATAAAGTCCAAGGTTACAACAAGCCCCGCTGGTAAGAAAACATTAACAACAGAGCCCTAATGCCTAATGCTGTATCATAGAAACTCTGAACCCTTTTGATTGTTCTGCCCATGTCAGCTGGCACCTGAATTTGAGCCTCACTCCAAAGGAAAGACTTCAAGGGGGTATGGAAATTCAAAGAGCGTATGGAAATTCCATCTGTGACATCCACATTGGTAGTAATGTGTTTGCCCAAATACTATTGCATTCTTTTTCCTTACACAAACCCCAGCAAAGCATACATACACAAGCATGTTGGAATGAAGGTAGATTGGGATTACCTAGTGCAGTGGTAGCAAACAGGTGGCATGCAGAGCGTTCTCTGTGGGCATGCGTGCCATCGCCCCAGTCCTAGGACTTCAGCTTTTTCGCTTTAGGCCTCCACTGCCATGGGCAAAAAAAAAAAAAAAAGGTTCAATCAATCAATCAATTTCAACTTCTCAGGGGAAAAAAAGATCTCGCAAAGTTGGAATTGATTGATTGAACTTTTTATTCCCACCAAGTCTGCCGTTACCACGGCAGCCACGCCCACCCAATGGGCCATGCCCACCCAATGGGCCACACCCACCCAGCACCCGATGATACACAAGTGGGTTTTGGGTTGCAGTTTGGGCACTCAGTCTCTAAAAGGTTCGCCATCACTGACCTAGTACATTTCTTGGTCTTCAGTAATAGATTGACATGGATTGCTTCCTGATTGTTTAACAATGATAAACAATTGTAGTAGCCATCTATTGCTGAAATAAAATTGAAGGGAGACTTTTACTAAGAGAAATGTTTTTTTAAATATATTTTATTAGATTTTATATGCATAGGGAAAAGGTGGGGTCGGTGCGGGTACAGGGAAATCGGGATAAAGGGGACAAGGTGTGGATAACTACAGTAAATACGTAATTCAGCGAACAAGCTGTCCAGGTCTTCATATTGAGTATTATTGTTTATATAATACTAGACATTTATAAGAATAAATCGGTATAGTTACAACTGACATTTGGTAAAACAGTAATATTCCTTTAAATAATTAACATAGCTGATAGCATAACAACTGTTTCCAATCATTAAGCTTAAAACTTAATATAATAAAGCTCTAAAATCTCTTCTTATTCTAACGTATTTCAACCCACTGATAAAATTTTCCCCAGGTTTTATAGAAGATTGAATCCTCTTTCTCCTTCATCTCTAATGTTAATCTGTCCATTTCTGCACAATCTAGGATTTTCAAAATTATAATCTGGTCTGATGGTAGGTTTTCATTTTTCCAAAATTGGGCCAATACTATTCTTGCAGCTATCAATACATGTAATATTAAATAATCATTTTCTTTGCCATAGTTAGGTCTTAATATACCTAACAGGAACAATTCTGGTTTAAATTCTATCTGGATTTTCATCATCTTTTCTAACCATCTATGAATCTTAGACCAATATTTTTTTACAATAGAACATGTCCACCAGGCATGATAATAAGTACCCGGTTTTTGCTTACATTTCCAATATGCATCCGATAAATTTTTAAACATTTTCGCTAAGCGAACTGGTGTCATATGCCATCTATAAAACATTTTATATAAGTTTTCTTTGTATGTTACTGCTTTAGTAAGTTTGATATTTTTATCGCACAGTTTTTGCCAGTCTTCTAATTCTATAGAATATCCAAAATTCTTTGCCCATACTATCATTGTCTCTTTTACTTGTTCTTCTTCCATCTTCCAATTTAATAAGTATTTATAAAGCTTTTTAATCAAATGCTCATCTGTTTTTAAAAGTATTTTATCAAGTGGAGTCAGCTCTTTGTAAAATCCCATTATTTTTATGTCTTTTTCAGATCTTGTTTGAATTTGCAAATAGGACCACCATGTTAAGTCAATACCTTGTTGTTGAAGGGTTTGCCTGTCTTTGAGTTTTCCGTCCTTATCCAAAATGTCTTTATAACTAACAAGTTTATTATAATTAATCAGATTCGGATAAGCAAATGCTTCCATCGTTGAAAGCCACTCAGGAATTTTCATATACATTTTGTGTCTATCTTTCTCCCATTCAGAGAGTAAAACATTTCTTATAGCATGGTTTTGAAAGTACTTATGTATTTTAGCTCTCTCATACCATAAAAAGGCATGCCAGCCTAGGTAAAGATCATATACTAAGAGAAATGTTTGTGGGGAAATGTCTATGGAGATTCTCCGTCATCCAGGTCATGGTTGTCCCAAGGGTGCTTTTTCAAGAGAAAACGGGACTTTCTTGTTTTTCTCTGAAGACGTTTCGCTTCTCATCCAAGAAGCTTCAGAGCTGAAGTAGCTTCTTGAATGAGAAGTGAAACGTCTTCAAAGAAAAACAAGAAAGTCCAGTTACCTCTTGGAAAAGCACTTTTGGGACTTTTGTGGGGGGAAATACTGTTTTGAGATTTAGAGCAGGTCCTTGGACTCAAGAGTTCTTTAATCCCAAGCTTGGTCTTTTGTATCAAGCTCCAGTTAAAACTTTTAAGGCACCAGAGCTGGTCCCCTCTTGAATTTGTAACTTTGGGCACTGAGAAGAATGGGCCTTTCTGTCTTGTATCTAGCGCCAAATACTGAAGTTCAACTACTGTATCGTGAGGAAAATAATTTCTTTGAATAACTTTAGTTCAAATACTTGCTTCTTCTGAGAAAAGATGAAAAAGACTGCCTACCTTCAATCTTTCCACAATGCTGTCACTGTTGCTATGGTGATAAATGTGGTCATACTCTAGGTGCTCATATAAGAACAAAGTTAAGGACATTAAGTGTTGCTTCCTTTGCTGTTGCCTACTTTCAAGATTTATATTATCATTACAAGAGATAAGAAACCCCAGTGCAGTCTCAAACTGTTTATCCCTGCTAGATTTCCAGAAATTAATAAAATCAGAAGGATTTAACACTGCCTTGTTTTTTTTTGTATCACTCATGAAAGTTTTTGACTAGAAAAAGACTTTTTTCCATGATCAGCTTTGAGGGGATGGAATTTCCTGACTTTTCCTCAGTATGCCGAGTTCTCCATGTTACACCACTATTTTGGATTTTATATAGATCATCTGTAACTGAATAGGTAGCCTTTCAGGAAGCATAGAGGTATGCAATCCTTGTGTATTTTTTGTGAGGTAAAAGAACAACACAGAATGCTGTAGGCAAGAAAATCAGTTACCATCAAAGAGCTTCTAAAGGCTTCATGCCCATAGGAGAAGGTGGAATTGTGTGATCCAGAAAACAGAGCAGTTTCAGGAAGAAGATAGGTGACAAGATCAAGAAGCAGAGACTCAGAGAAAATAGCCAGTAACCAATGTTCATAGTTGAAGGAAGATTGGGAATGAGAAGACAAAATCAGGACAAATTTCTGGATCAAACACCAGCATGGCACTGGATGGAAGTTTCCTAATTTGGTGCCCTCTTATTAAGATGAGAACTCTAGCTCTTTTGCATCCTTCTTATCTAGAGGGCAGCTAGCTGTGTATAACTGTGCTAGACATTCCTAAGTAGCTTACTGGAATATATGCTTATGCTTCTTAGGAGCTACCCAATAACCTGAAGATCAGGAAAGAAGAAGCAGCTCTAGCAGTTAGCCTTATGTATCCCTTAACCTGTAATGTTCTCTTTTTTGATCAGATGACAGTTCTAAATACAAAAATGGCCGTGAACCATACGGGGCAGGCAAGAAGGTTATTATTCTGTGAAGCATATTTAATTATTTAAATGGCTATTTTCATAAAATACCTTTTCAAGGGACAGATCGGTCATTGATACTCGCTGTCAAGGTTCTGACTAACGAACCCAACCAAGTAAGCACCGATGAGACGATCCAATCTCTTTGTGCAAAACTTTATTGAGTACATCATTTCGGCATGATTGAAAGCAAAAACAGCTCTGGTTGTTTCCCACGCAAACTGCTGTAATTAAAATATAGAATTCTCCCTCTCCCTATTAATGCAGGTGACATTGTCCAATCAAGTGTTAAAATATTGTTATGGGAAAGTGTATCTGTTTGTTGGCAGACATCTGTTGAAACATCCTTGGTTCACACCGTTGGTTTTCTTGTTGTCTGCATTCCATTTTTGTTGTCTTGTTGTCTGCATTCCATTTTTCCCCCTCTCCCCCCCCCAAGTGCACTTGCAAGCTAAGAAGCAGCAGTAATGGCAGCAATATCGTGCGCATGCTTCAAGCTTGACACTAGCCCGTTCAAGCACATACATAAACAATGAAAAAGTTTGGAAAACTGTGTTCTCTGGGTGCTATTCACCTGATGTGCATATTTGAAAGCAAGCTATTCTGAGAAATGAATAAAGCCCACAGTTCCTCCAAGAGCAACCTAATAAAGTGATGATTGTATGATCTGCTATCTCTTCACTGTTTCTAGGCTTGGACAGTTGGGGTTTTGCATAGCATCCACTGATTTGAAGCTCTCTGTTTTGTCTTTCCTACAGCAGGTGAAGATGATGAGGATGAGTCTGGCGAGGAGCGCCTGCCCTCCTGCTTTGATTATGTCATGCATTTCCTGACCGTCTTCTGGAAAGTGCTCTTTGCCTGTGTGCCCCCGACAGAGTACTGCAATGGCTGGGCCTGCTTCATTGTGTCCATCTTGATCATTGGCATGCTCACTGCCATCATTGGAGATCTGGCCTCTCACTTTGGCTGCACAATTGGCCTCAAGGATTCTGTGACCGCCGTGGTCTTCGTGGCCTTTGGCACTTCGGTCCCAGGTGAGACTGGGACTCTTTGAGACAGACAGGTAGCACCACATGGCTGCTAACTAGTCCATCGCTAACCATGGTTGCAAACTATCACAGAGTTACGTGCAGCGTCCTAGAAATGTCCTCCAACAATGTCATTAAAAAAATATCCAGGCTTAGACAAAGAGAATAAGCAGCGCCATCTGAAAGCCAGTTACAGGATTTTTATAAGGAAAAACAAGGAGAAGAAATTATGTCTGCCTTACTTAACTCCTTGGAGGGTTGTCAAGTAAGAAAAATAATGAAGAAATATTTTGCAACACCCATCAGCCTGTTTGGAATTTATGATGTATTGCACCTTCCAAACATATGTACATATAAATAAAAAGCAATGTCAGCAAATGATAAAGTGTCTCATATTTTATCTCAAGAAGCCAGTTAACGGATATTCTGGCTGAACTGTTAGAAATGATTCTTTTAAATATTTCTGATAGGACTTGTTTGTGGAGTAAGGAACATTTCAGTATTTTCCTTCTTTGCACAAAATTAACGGCCTTGATTGTGCATATTAGTACCAAATTAGTTTACAAATATAAGTCACTTCCACCAAACAGGTTTCTAATTGTTTTCATTCTTATGCGAAAAAAACACTTTAAGGTACTTTATGCTAAATGATAGCATATAAACACAGCTATCATTTAACAAACCCTTGTTGCTACTAAGACTAAATGCTACTTATAATTTCACATAGTCAGGACAGCCAAAAGACATGGGATACAATCCAGAATCACTGTAGTACTTTTGTCTTTTGCTCCACTGAATAAAAGTAGGGCTGCACATGCTGCCAAATACTGTTCCTCAGCATCACTTGTGGTCCCACTTGCTGTCTTGCTGATTTTAACACCACCCACTCTTGCAGAAACATCTGCTTCTTTTAAAAAAAATAGGATTTGATTAAATTCCAAATCATGAATAAAAAATAGCCCGGAAAAAAGAGAAGTGCCCAAAAAAGGGAAAAAAATATAGATGCAATATAGACGATTGTTAATTTTAGAGTACAAGTTGATGTATTTTTTTTTATCTATACCTGTACCAAAGAAAGTTAGAAGCCACACACCCATCCCTCTGCAAACACCTGTGCTGTCCATCTTCAGTTTACGTATCAAATCTCTCTGGGTATAAACGGAAGTGTGAAAGGGAAACATTTGCATGTATGATTCTCCTTTGGCGTACAATACACGAAAGGGGGAGGTTATCCTGACTGGAGCCTCTTTGGGCATTCATTTAAACCAGTGTTTTTCAACCTTGGCAACTCCAAAGATGTGTAGATGTGTGGCTGGCTGGGGAATTCTGGCAGCTGAAGTGCACAATCTTCAAGTTGCCAAGTTGAGAAACGCTGGTCTTAAACAAATAAATAAACACCAGAGGCCTTAAAAGTGGGTAGAGGAAAGATATGCATGCTACTGCTATTTCTCCCAGATTCCACATTGGAGGTCTAAGAGTCCCTGTGGTTATTTTTGCTTGGATGGAATAGAATAAGATCCCCAGCTGAATAGGAACAAGCAGGTATGAGTGCTGGAGGGCAGCCCTCCTTTGGACTTCTTGGAGAGATGTGATGGGGGCCAACGTACACATCCCACCAACCAGATTGGGAAAGACTTGAGTTAAGACCTTGTTCTCTTCATGAGATATCCCTGGTGGGACTGATTGGACTAAGTACTCTTCAGCACATCTCTTTCATGTGAGCTTTCATTTGAGCACACTGATTCACCACCTTAAATGTTGTTGGCCCTTTCTTTTTCTGCCTTAAAAGGTGTCCCCATCTTCTTCATGCCAGGACCATGTTTGTCTTTTTTTATACTGGGAAGACTGCTTGAACTTCTACTTAGGCATTTGTTTCTTTTCCTTTCCAGACACTTTTGCTAGCAAAGCGGCCGCTGTTCAAGACATTCATGCAGATGCTTCCATTGGCAATGTCACAGGCAGCAATGCAGTCAACGTCTTCTTGGGCATTGGACTGGCCTGGTCAGTAGCTGCCATCTACTGGGCTTATCAAGGAGAGGAGTTCCATGTATCAGCCGGCACTCTTGCCTTCTCTGTGACACTGTTCACCATTTTTGCTTTTGTCTGCATCAGTGTGCTGTTGTACCGAAGACGGCCTCATTTTGGAGGAGAACTAGGAGGCCCCAAAGGGTGCAGACTTGCCACAACTTTGCTTTTTGTGAGTCTGTGGCTATTGTACATTTTATTTGCTACCCTGGAGGCCTATTGCTACATCAAAGGGTTCTAAGTCACGGAGAGATTTCAAGCCAAAAGGGAGGCCTTCTCCTCCTTTGATACCTCATTGAACACCAGAGAGTTGTCTGACCAGGAGTGGCCGCTCCCTATCAATTTTCCAGAACTGCCCAGGTTAAAGGATGACTGGGCTTCAAGAAGGGCAAAATTATCATTATAAAAAGTAAAGACAGATATTAAAATAAAGCCAACAACATCAGTCACTCAGTCAAATCAGAAATATCAGCAGTTCTTAAACTTACCCATTTCTAGAACTCTGCTGTAAGACTCCATGATGTTCGTTCCTCCACTTTACGAAATATCATGTATTCAGATGACGATCTTATAAAGCATTGGGGTGGGTTGTGTTTTTTTTTAATTTGGGAAGGGTGAATCTTACCTGATCTATTTTCTTTTTTTTAATACAAAAAAGGGGGGGCTGGAAAAAAAATACAGATTCAACCTTCATATCACATTAGAGCTGGAGTTGAAAATGCTCTATATTTTTTATTCTATATGAACATTTAATTATCATTTTTCACTTTGTTTTAGAGTTATAGTGCTATTGTATTTTAAGTGCAAACATAACTCATATAGACATGACACCTACACGTACGGACACACAGATGAAAACTACAGTTGAAAACTGGAGCATGTAGCAAGTAATACACCTCCCTGGGCTACCAAAAAAAGAACAACAAGCTGTAAAGATATTACATGTAATGTGTATATTTTGAATATGGCAAATCTCTTTGTGTAATTAACATAAAGCTTTTAGCACTGCAGAATTAAATATATATAAATATATATAGTTATTTATACACAGCAAATAAATCAATGCAAACTGCAGTGTGAAAAATACAAGCAAAAGAAAACCAGCACAAGTTTATTACTATTGTCATCATTATCATCATCATCATCAATTTGTTCCATATGTGGAAAAAAAGAACATTCTTTTTAAGTAGAGAATAATTTATGTAAATATAGTTCTCACACTTTTTGAGTGTTAAAATATCAGTCAAAATCCTTCAAGAATTATATTGTTTTGCTTTGACTTTGCTCTTAAAAACACTAAAGAAAGTTTTTTAAAAAATTATGGCAATTTCTCTATAATCGTTGTCAGACCAGATAATGGCATCCCTGTTTAACAAAAGTTGTTTTTAAAAAAATCCGCATTTAAATCTAATACTAAACCATAGTTTGATGTTAACTTGAGCCTTGTTGGCGCAGTGGTTAGAATGCAGTATTGCAGGCTAATTCTGCTGACTGCCAGGAGTTCGATCTTGACTGGCTCAAGGTTGACTCAGCCTTCCATCTTTCCGAGGTCGGTAAAATGAAGAGCCTATTTTAAGGGGGCAATATGCTGACTCTAAACCACCCAAGAGAGTGCCGTAAAGCACTATAAGCTATAAGTGCTAATGCTATTACTAAATCTCCTGTTCATGTATAAAGAGCACATCCCTCGCTTTTCTTTCTCCAATGTGATTACAAATAGGAGATTGGAAAACTTCTAGTATCAGTTAATTAATGTTCATCATAATGGGGCAAATCAAAATTTAGTGGAACTATGACTGTCCAAATAAGTTAACTCAAATGTGATTTGCAGTTATGGCTCATTCAGGTGACAAGAATAGAGAAGGATGATAGGCATAACATAATTATATTGCAATATACATGGAGTGAAGATGCCTGATTGTGATTGCCCATTATCCACGTTAGCCAACAATGAAAGTAAATGATGAAACATCCCATTGCTTGGTGTTCCAGTGAGATAACTTGTGAAGCCCTTTCAAGATAGAGGACAATCTTTCAGATGACTATAGAGTCACTGCATTTTCCTGTAAAAATGATCATCAATTTTGAGGATTTGCAGAGGGATCTCCAATTTTTCCTAAAGAAAACACCGATGATAATTTTCCAGATAACATGATGCATCTATTTTACTTGCAATGCAAGTGACTTCTTGTTTCTTTTATGTTCCTGCTTCTTGGCCTCCACAAGACTGAAATGTTATGATTGTAATTGCTACCATTAATCATATATACAACTTTCTGGGAAAGAAGCACCTTTTGATTTTTTCCCCCAAGTGTGTGTATGTGTGTGTGTGTGTGTGTTTCAATAACTGCAGAGTTAAATATAGGGTTGATACTAAATATGATATTTGTCTCACAAACACATTTCTTAAGCATAAGCAGCAAGTGGGGAGCTAGATTTTTTTATTATTTAAGAAAAAGAGTTCTTTTTCATCCAGAAATAAAGAGTTGTATAAAGGAACTTTTTTTCTCTCAGATTTTGAACTCATTGGCAAGTGAACAAGAAAAGTGAAGTTTCTGTATTTTGTATCTTTTTTTATAAGTTTTTTAAAGAGTAGAAAAGAAGCTTATGAGCATTCAAGACTGATTCTATATAGGAGCAATTACCCAAAGAATACATTCCTAAGCATGGAAATAGATGCAAAGTAATTTCAAAGAGTTATGACACTGAATTAAAAAAAGGAGTATTTCAATTTTAAAACCAGAGTTTTTATGCCAACCATACTCGGTTTTTATTGCCTTATTCTATATAAAAAAGGAATCCCTGGATTTTACATCACTAAACATTGCCGACTGTACGGGGTGGCACTCATCTCCATTTCAAGGGCCATTGAGTCAGCACTGTCCAAAGATATTTCCGCAGTCATATGGCCAGCATGGTGTCACAGTGGGCTGTTATCTTCCCATCAAAGTGTTACCTATTTTGTCTACTTGCATTTCCCTGCTTGTGAACGGCTAGGTTGGCAGGATCCAATCAATCAGAATAGTGCTGGAAGGACTCTGGAGGTCTTCTATCCAAACCCCTACTCAAACAGGAGACCCTAGACCAGTATTTCCCAAACTTGACAATTTTAAGGCATGTGGACTTCAACTCCCAGAATTCCACAGCCAGCATTGCTGGCTGTGGAATTCTGGGAGTTGAAGTCCACATGCCTTAAAATTGTCAAGTTTGGGAAACACTGCCCTAGACTCTAGTCAGGCAAGTGGCTGCTCAGTCTTATCTTAAAAACCTTCAATGATGAAGCTCCCACAATTTCTGAAGGCAAGCTGTTCCACTGGTTAATTGCCCTCAGTTACGAAGTTTCTCCTTAATTCTTGGTTGCTTCTCTCCCTTGATTAGCTTCCACCATTGTTTCTTGTCTTGCCTTCTGGTGCTTTGGAAAATAGATTGACCCCTCTCTTCTTCGTGGCAGCCCCTCAGATACTGGAACACTGCTCTCATGTCACCCCTGGTCCTACTTTTCTCTAGACGATCCAGAACCAATTCCTGCCACTGTTTTTCATATGTGTTAGTCTGCAGGCCTTTAATTATCTTAGTTGCTCTACTCTGCACTTTTTTTCCCCCCAAAGTTTCATCTTTTTTGTAATATGGTGACCAAAACTGGATGCAATATTCCAGGTCTAGTCTTACTAAGGATTAATAAAGCGGTACTAATACTTCATAGTGATTTTGAGAACTAGGGCGAGGATGAAATCACCCCATCGCATGATTCTAGGACAGTGGTTCTCAACCTTTTTAATGCCCCAAACCCCCCCCAACCGGTCGTAAGTCGAAGACTACTCAACTGGTCGTAAGTCGAGGACTACTCAACTGGTGCAGCATCATTTGCAGAATGGGACTTTTGGCGGGCTCAGCAGGGCAGAGACAGCCTGGACAATTCCTATTGGCTTTTGAAAGCCAATAGAATTAGATTCTATTCAAGAGAGTCTATTCTATTGGCTTTCAAAAGCTAATAGAATAAAATGGAGTAGCACAGCTAAGGAAAAGGGGGGGGGGAAATGGCGGACGGCATTGTTTGGCGACCCCCGTGAAATGGTCGTTCGACCCCAAATGGGGTCCCGACCCACAGGTTGAGAACCACTGCTCTAGGATCTCGATCATGGACTGTTGGCTTTCCAACCAATAAGCCCAGCATTTTAACCACTGAGCCATTACCCCACCTTCTATTCCATATATACAGGCATAATTGATTCTCTCAACCTTCATGTTGGGGGAAAATGTCATCCCCTAAGAAATTGCTAAAAGAGAGAAAATTAGATTCAAGCAAAGGTGTGGATCTTGTCAATGGTGATGCGAGACAGACAGGATGTACCACGTCACCAAAGCATGATGTCTCACACTGTGGTTCTTAACAGGTGCAAAACACCAGATACACGTGCCTACCCTTTGGGTAGAATCACTTTGGCCCAAGCCAGGCATATTTTGCAGGAAAAAATGCTTTCCCCATTTTTCATTTGCTTGTTACAATCTGTTTTAATTTTACCTGCTTGAATTCTCCAGGATAGGGAGGAGGCAGATCTGAAGTCTATTTTAATAAATCTCTTGGTTCCTGCTGTACAAAAAGTCCTGTACAAATCCTTGATTTTATGAATTATTACCTCTTCTGGATATAAAAAGAAGGAAGATTGATATAATTTTTAAAAAGATCAGAATTTTGGAGAGTCATCAGAGTCAGCTAGAATCTGTGTGATTTAATGATATGTTGTTGCAGCGTACCTTAATAGTAATGATCTTTTCACCAGGAAAAAAAAATGTGTCCTTCCTTTGATTTTCTATCTATGCCCTTGGGCTTTATTTGTGCTGTACCTTTCGCAAAGAAGCCCAGGACAGTACAAATGAAGCCTTGTTTTATCCTTAACATCCTTGCAATGAGCTTGGAAGGGGTCTGCGTGACTGCTAAGCATTGCATTTAGGCTTGAAGTCCGGTTTCACAAGTCTTTTGTTCAATGCAGTGAATATTGTTGTCTTTCCTGCCTCAGATAGGAAGCTTCACCTCACAGCTTCTTAGTCATGAGCTCTATACAGGCAATGGCCTGTCTATTAATTTATTTAAATAGTGTTTTCGGTATCAAGGTTTTTCAGGTGAATTTTACTTCATTCTGCCTATCTCCCCCTTCCTGGTTGATACATGGCCTTGGTACAATAAAGCCTGTTAACCTTATCTCCATGGGTGGTTTCTACATTCCTGTCTGCCTTCTTCATGAAGACTTCCTTTTGGGTGAGGAGAGCTAGTGGTATCACCAAGTTATGGTTGCCTGCCATATACTGTACATGTACTAGGAAAATCTGGTCTAGGCTAACTTTCTCCATGAAGTGTTTCCTCATTTTATTTTTAACTCATTAAATGCAAAAGAAATAAACTGAAATTTTGTGCTGTCGCCTTTTTCCCAGTGAAGGTGATTTCCATTTCTTTCCAAACTTGTGCATGTAACTTTTTAAAGTCTTTTACATTTTAATTCCATGCTATCCCTTTTATTTATCCTTCCTTGTTTTGCAGCAAGAGAAACCACAGAGATTAAAAAAAGGGAAAGCAGCATGTTAAGTAATATCTTAAAGCCTAAATTATTAAAAGAAAAATGTCTCCAAAGACAGTTCAGAGCTTACTAAACCCCAAGATTTAACCAAATAGCCATTTCCTTATATAACACATAAACAAGTATATTGGAGTTAACAAATCTTGGAGTTAACAAATCTTTGTCGGCCAAGTCTTCTGCAAAAATAAATGTGAGGTGCCTTTCCCAACAGGAAAATATGGGATTTATAGTCCGGTACCTTGTCTGATAAGCACCTGTTTGAGAATTTTGTGTGTCTCTGTCCCCAACCCTGCTTCAGTGAAGAGGCTGATAACCATGACCTACTTGGGCCTGGATCAAAAAAGAAAACATTCATTCATTCAGACAAAATGGGCTCAAGACAAAAAGAAGCTCTTTCATCTTCTCAGTTTTGAAATATCTGTATGTGCATTGAATCATCCTTTAAAAGCTATGTTCATTGTTTTGCTCAACTCAATATATTTGAATCTATTAATTAATTAATTCTGGGACCCTTTTTATCTGCAGAAGAGCTTACTTTCTATTGGAGGCTCTTGCCAAACCAAAAAGAAGACCATTTTTTTTCTTTATTTTTGCTTCTCCTTGCTCATTCCTTTAAAGGGTCCTGATTTTCTAGAGCAGTGTTTCTCAACCTTGACAATTTTAAGGCATGTGGACTTAAACTCCCAGAATTCCACAGCCAGCAATGCTGCTGGCTGTGGAATTCTGGGAGTTGAAGTCCACATGCCTTAAAATTGTCAAGGTTGAGAAACACTGTTCTAGAGGAAGGAAAGCTGCATCAGTGAGATTCACTTCTCTTTCTTAATGCTAATAGAAATACCACTTGAGTAACATGCCATGCACAGGAACATAAGATCTGGTTCCAAGTTTGGATTTTCCACCTTGAAATGGAAGGTCCATGTCAAAAAGTAGCTAGGTTGCAGACGTTATGCACATTATTTGGTGGTTGTGCTTTAAATGTTACGCTTTTGTTGGAATTGTTTTGTCTTTTGGAATTTTCAATCTTTTGTGTTTATGGTTGTGGGGCTGGCCAGAGTTTATGACTGGAGAGGCATATGAATTGAATGAAATGAACAAACTAGCTGTTCAGGGTGGCAAGAGAAGAACATATTTGCTTTAAAACCACTAGGGCAGGGGTAGGCAACCTTGGCTCTTTTATGACTCGTGGACTTCAACTCCCAGAATTCCTGAGCCAGCATGACTGGCTCAGGAATTCTGGGAGTTGAAGTCCACGAGTCATAAAAGAGCCATGGTTGCCTACCCCTGCACTAGAAGAAGCTCTGGCCCTTGAGTTAGAATTGTATTCTGGGTATTTGTTTATCTCCAAGAAATGAACCTCAAAATAATGGATGTGCCTACAGAAAGTACACTGCAGTTCCCAGGACAATTGGAAGTTAAAGTACAGCACTCTTCTAGCCAGAAGGGATCAAATATAAAAACAGATTACATCAACATTTTATGTTCTTATAATGGCCAATTAATCAAGATGCTCACAAGAAAGATATGGATGCAATAGCTGAGTTTGCTTTAATGAACCAAGAGAATTTGTCCAAATTCTCGTCCGAATGTTCTTCCTGGAAATGAGCAAGAGGTATAACTTTGTAGCCTATTAGTAGGTCCAACATCTGCTTTCCTTCCAGTGAAGAGTATCTGCAAGGCTGTGGCTGACTCCCTATTTTCATCAAGATTATTCCAAAGCAATATACAACTTTAATGTATGTATGCTATATGCTGCAATTTTGATTTTAAAAATTAAACCAAACAAAATGGATAAAATGATAAAGCCAAAATTATTTTAAATGTGTATTAGAAATTAGGGGAAGAAGGAAGGATCATGTGGAAGTACAGCAAAATGTCAAGTTACTTGATTGTCTTCACCTCTTTTGTTCTTTTCCAACTTCCCTTTCGGTTTAGGTAAGCTCTGGTAGGCAATTCTGTTCTTATTAAGTCAAGGAAGAAAGCCTGGAATTTCAAAGAAAGAACTGAAGTCTGTAAATGCTACTTTCAGCAGTTCTATTCTATTCCTTTTGGGGTAGAAAAACTGTCTGAAATCCTTGAGGATTTCCATTCAAGTCTTTTAAAACTCTAAAATTCTTGGAGAGACAAGGTCACTTTCTCTCCATTAGGTTTCATTAGATGGTTAAGAAAGGAAGAACAAAATACATCCATTTGTACTATGTTATATATGCATATATACCATGTTCCTTATGAGAACAGAATACAGACACACACACACACACACACACACACACACACACACTAGTGTATCCTAATTTCATTTCCTATATCTTCACCTAGATCAAAACCAGAACTCTCCAAATGTTGTTGAGCAACTTCTACGATCTTGATGATTAGTCAAGATGGCTGGAGCTACAGGTTTCCTGCCTCAAATTACTATTTCACTTGAACCTTAACATCCTGGATGCACAACTATTTTCAGATCAAAGGCCCAACTTGGTGGTATGAAGAGCTGCACTGCCAAAAATTGAGTCTAAGGGAAAGGCTA